GGACTAGGATTGAGGACATTGCTACATAGGAGAAACATCCCTAGGGTTTTTAAGAGGTTGTAATAAAACAAGCTTCTCAGAGCTCACTCTAGACGATACAAATTAAGACAATTAACTCCTAGAAATGTTGAGTAAATTTCATCATAGTCCCTCCCTTTTTAAATGAGTGCATACAAGGCTGAGTGAATGAATGGGTGGATGAAGGCATAGTGGTTTCTCAATGACAGCATGGTCTTTGTCTTGGTGGCAAGTCCCCAGCACCACCTCCTATCTGATTCTGGAAGACCCTGAGAAGCAATAATCTCTTGCACTGACAGTCATTGATAGTGCTAAAGCCCTTGCCTTTTTGACTCATCAGTTGACCTATAAAAGGGAAGATATTGTCACTTTCCAGAAGAGAAAACTCTAACTGACTTCTCTTGCAAACTTTCAGGTAAGTTATTTCCTGCTTAATAAGATGAAGTGATTTCCCAGAGTTAGGTGTTGAACAGAACTCAGTTCACCTCCGCCTTGTGAAGTTTCTTACAGCCACAAGACCCTGAAAATCTAACACAAAACTAGTACATCCCTGAGTGCCTGTGGGGGAACAGCCTGTGCACCAGCCAGAGTCAGCAGGAGCCGCCGGCACACTTGAAATGGTCAATGAAAAGAAGTCAATGTAGAGACAGTTGTGCGTGGGGCTCAGGAAACCAAAATCATGCAGCACCAGAGACTCCTAACAAGGTGGAGCCCTTACCACCTCTGGGACTGAAGGAGCTGGAGGAGGAAGCTGTTACTGCGTCTGTAACAGTCTCAGGAACAAGAGCTGGTGCTAAGGGCGCGAAGTCTCCTGACAGAACTGTGGCCTTAGACCAAGGAGCAGAGCCACTGCCAGAGCAACTGAGCCCAACCAGTGAGGAGCAGGGATATAAAGATGTGATCTACCTGCCCTCCTACCTCATAATCTTCTGTTGGTGACTTCCAGTGGCCAAACCCAACAGGAAGCCAGAGGGCAAGAAGCCCTAGTAATGAAGTGCACGGAGATCAGCCTTTGGAGACACAGAGCAAAGAGGGCAGAAAGTGGACCTGTAAAAGGAAAGGAACAATAGGGAACACAGCTATCAATGCAATAGAGCAGACCACCCATTCAATGAACAAATATTTATCTCTCCAGGGGCTGGGGAGATACCAGTGACCAAGACTAGTTTACCATCTAGCAGGGGGCCACGGACAGCATTCGTATAAACAAACACACATGCAGTTGTTTTTCCAGAGAGTGGTAAATGCCAAGAAGGAGAAACACCATAATGGATGGAGAGGGACTGTGGCTTATAGAGCATTGGCTTAGAAAGAATGGACAAGGAAAGCTTCTCTGAGGAGGTGGTATTTGAAGTAAGGTGCCCTGGGCTTCCCAGGAAAACCAACTTTGACTCCACACCTACACTGTGTGGTTTGCGGATAAGCCTCAAAGCTAGCCTGTGATTTAGAGGCATCAGTCCCAGTGAAAACGAGAGAGGGGAATAAAAACAAGCACTCACATTGACACCCCACCCCCACCCAAGGGCATGTGCTAACTCCTGTACGTGCCCTCTTGCTGCTCCGGGTACCATCAAGCCCATGTATGAACAAGAATACTGAAGCTCAGAGGAACTGGGCTGTTGATTCTGTGTTCTCACATCTTGAGCCCTGTGGGAACAGCGAAGTGGAAAAGCACATTCTATTCCCTCCTTCTTACTACATCTCAGTCCTATTCCCTTGATGTCCTATGCAGAGAGCAGATCCGCTGCTTCTCTCTTCCTGGGCCTCGCTGATGTGAACTTGAGATAGAGTCTTCTTCCACCCTCTTATTTCCAATCTAAAAAAAAAAAAAAAAATGTAAAGGCTGTGTCAGGAAGGTGAAACGTGTGTCCCGGTAGCTCCAGCCCAGCCTCTGATAATACTTGCATTCAACAGTTCTGAGGCCTGTTTATTCTTTTTCTCCCTGCACTGCCTGCTCCTCCTCCTCAATATTCGGCGTGTCTCCAGCCTTAACTCGGTGGTCTTCGGGTCATTTATTGAATAGGTAAGATTTCTCAGTCAATAAAGTCAAGGCAGTTTTCTTCCCCGGGACACCCCCCCACCCCCAATCAAAGAAAGTGGGGTGGGGGCTAGGACCGAGCAGAGGCCTCGATTGCTAGCCGCTGGGGTCTGCATTTTGTATTTCGCTGACAGCCCAGGGCCGCTCCAAAGCCCGCCGCGCAGCCAATGGGCAGCGGTGATTTATGGAGCTGACTAATGCTGGCTGAATGCGGCCTGTCACAGCGCTGTGAATGGCTTCCCTTCGCTGCACAAGCCCAGGCTTTGTGTTGCTAAGCGATTAGAGCAGATGTAATGAGATTTTGCCCAATCCCCACTTTGCCCTTTCCTAGCTTCGGCAAAATTGTGTGTTTTTGTGAATTTTTAGAGTTTGCCTTCGCATTGTGGCAAACAACAGCTAACTTTGCCTCGAATTTAACGAGACTGGATATTTCCCATTCAGAAGTGTTAGTAAAAGAACACCTGTCTTCACAAGGAGCAGGGAGGAAAAATCCCCTCTGTGGGGGCTGAAACATTATCCTAATGTTATATTCATAGCAATAAATGACTTGCTACACTTTCTTTGCCTACTTTATCTGAAAACTTGCAAAGGAGTTAAATTAAAAGAAAAAATGGGGGGCGGGGAGCCCAGCTCTGGTCCTCCAAATGAGAAGATAAAAATAAAAGCAGGCATCACAAAAGCATTATTTCCCTCAAGTAAGCTCTAAATTGGCCCACTGCTGGCAGAAAGTCCGATTATTTATGGCGATGAGGAATTTACTGATTTTTTTCCCCTTAATTACGCTCATCTCTTTGAAAGGGACTGAAGCCTCAATGTGCATTCTATAGAGGGTCATTTAGCAAAATGACATCAGACGCTGTGGCGTGCTCCGCGCATCGCAGCTTTAAAAAATGATTATTCTGTGCCACTAAATGGTATAGATGTACCAACACAGACTAGATTTTTAACTCTGGAAGACGTGCTGGCTCCCCGTTCTTTGTTGGGTTTTGTAAGACGCATTTTGCGCTCGGCTTTCCGCTTGGCTGGAGACACGCAAACTGAATGTGCAAGTAACGCAGGAGGCGAGCGAGGCGCCGGCGAGAGGCGGAGTGGGATTCTGATCACGTCCTTGCTAACTGACAAGGAGCAAGCCAGCCAAAAACCCCACCAATTTCTTTTTGAATCTTGGTAATTGGGTACTTTTACACGCAGCTCACGCTATTCGGATAGAGTCACCAGCTTAGATAGGCTAGTGTCTCAAAGCGACCACACATTTCTAAGGCTTTTATTTCTTTAAATGTAATTCCTTCAGCCAGGAATTCATATCATACGTGTCCTTTACTTAAAATCAGTATGGAAAGTGTGCATACTGGGGAGAAGAAGTAGAAAATGTTCCTGGAAGTGGAGGAAGAACACACCCACCACCCGGAGTGTGGGGAGGGCTACCTCTGCCAGCCAGCCCTGCCTAACCTAGAACCGCCGTCCTTCCTCCCACCCCAGCGCCTATGATCTCATCCAGTCTTTCCAGTTTCCCAATTAGGAACCCAGAATGTGGTAGGGGTTAGAAAGTGCAGTGAGGACCCTTTCTTCCAGTACACTTTTTGGGCCATTTTAAAAAAAGTAAGTCATTTTATCAAAAGACAATGCAGCCATCATTCACCACCTATTCTCTTGGTGTACGAGTACATTTGCAGCATAAAAGGGGAAACCCCCTTTTATCTATGTATCTTTCTTGTCTACATTCATCATAGAGCAACCTCAGGTAGGACTGGTCTTAGCACGTATCTTTGTCATTTCTGCCAGGTAGCCTGTTTTGCACCACCCTCTTCTCCCCCGCCCACCCTTACCCTTTGGAATTTTGATGACTTGGACAGGGCAGCGGAGTCAAAGAAGACTTTTTGCGCTTGTAAAAAGAGAAAAAAAAAAAGAAAAAGAAAAAACGTTTTATTACGAAACTAGTTTGTATAAAACAGGGTTATACATTTTTTTTTGTAAGTTTGTAATAAAACAGTAAGAAAAAAAAGGCAGTGATAGAAATTTCCCAAAAGGCAACCTATCAAAAGCACTGGCTGCCACTTTGCGTTTGGACAGTAGCTGCATAAACTTTGTTCTGGAACAGTATTTAATAACATCATTAATACATTAACAAAGTTTCTATAAAGTAAGACACGTTGGTGCTTAAGTACATCTGGTGGCCTTTAGATCTCACCTATGAGGAGAGTTCTTTTACAAAACCACATAGGGAAAATGGCAGTTGTAAGGTGAACTACACATCTAAAATATGCAGAGGTAATAGCATTACATGTTAAAGTATCAAGATATACACATTTTAAACCATTTGTACAAAACTCTATAAATTTTTTCTCTTTCTCTCTTATGTACAAAAATATCTTAATATATCCCCAAACTGGTTAGGATAGATACAAATAGATTTTTCTTATAATAAAAAAATTCACAAAAGATTGGAAGCATCCTATGATGAGAATGGTAGAAAAGATGGTGTGAGGGAGTGGGGCTTGGGGAGGGGGCCCAAGGATGGGGTGCCAAAGGACCAAGTATAGCATAGCTTCACTGCAGACAAATGTCCACAGTTTATGGGGATGAGGGATACTGAGATGAAAGACACCAACCCTTGGCTAGAGGGTTAAGAACTGCGCTTTCAAAGAAGGCGGGGAGGTGAAGACACCCGAGCAAGCCCTTTCAGCTCTGCCTGTTAGTGGTGGATGGGAGTTTCTACAGGGCGTGTGCTGCTCTCTTTCACCAGGAGCCCAGTGCATTTGCACACAAGCAGCATTTTGCACATTGACTCAGGTCCTAGTCACTCTTCATATCTCTGTGAATGATTGGAGTGCAAAGAGACAGTTCTGAAGGCATCCCTGTTCCGTGAGAGCCTCGCTTCGCAGGCCTGCGTCCGCTTGGTTGGCGTTGGGGTTGGTTGCCTGTTATTTTTTATTTTTTCGTTTCCTTCTCTTCTTTTTTTCTCCCTTCCAGTATCGCTGACGAGAAAACAGTAAAGATGCAGGTTGTGCAGTCACCCTACAACACAAGAAGAACGGGAGAGGTTAGTGTGAACTCGGAGGCCGCCGCAGAGCGCCTCTTTTGACAGGTCCTAGTACTCATTCTCCAGCGTCTCCTCACCTCTATCCAGTCCTTGAAGACCTAAGCAAAACCACTCTGAGGCCAATGGTGAAACTAACAGACCAGGATTTCAAATCGACTAACTTTAACAGATCCTTGAGATCAATCCCCACCCCCGCCCGCGTCTCTGCGGAGACAGTCCCACTCCTAAGACGGAGGAAAAAGGTTGAAGACAAGTAACCTCCTTTCACCCCGGTCACCCCGAAATGCAACCTACCTGCTTGGAAAGTCCGCTCGCACCAGGGCCTGACCAGGCCGAGCCCCTCAGAACCAGTTGGTGAAGTCGAGCAGCTCCTGCTCCTCCGGACTGAGGGGGTCGTAAGAGCCCTCGTCCGACGAGTAGGACGAGACCGGTGAACCGGCCATGGAGTTCATGTCGTTGGAGTAGTTGGGGGAGATGGTGGGCGACAGGACGCCAGCCTGGAAGGCCGCGCTCACCGCGTCGTGCTCGTCCAGCAGCTGCTGCAGCGCGCGAATGTACTCGACCGCGGAGCGCAGCGTCTCCACCTTGCTCATCTTCTTGTTGGCCGCGCCGTTGGGGACGTGCTCCCGCAGGGTGGCAAAGCCTAGGTTGACCAGCTTGACGCGGTTGCGCTCGCGCTCGTTGCGGCGCGCCACGGCGGCCGGCTGCTGCTGCGGCAGGCTGTAGCCGAAGCCGCTGAAGTTGAGCCGGCGTTTGCAGCGCATCAGTTCGGGCGAGGACGAGCGCTGCCGCTTGACTTGCTTGGGCGCTGACTTGTGACCGCCCCCTGAGGGCTGGCCGTCGGCCGCGGGGCTCAGCTGCGGCGCCTGCTGCTGCTGCTGCTGCTGCGCGCTCTGCGCCGCCGCCGCCGCCGCCGCCGCCGCCGCCGCCGCGGCCGTGGCAAAGAAGCAGGCTGCGGGCGGCAGGAAGGGCTGCTGGGGCTGCGCCTGGGGCTGCTGGCCGGCGCCGCCGCTCTCCATCTTGGCAGAGCTCTCCATGCGCCGCGGCTGCCAAGGAGTCGCGGGATCCGAGCGTGCGGGGATGCGGGGCGCGCCGAGGAGACACAGACAGGACTGGGGTGCAGGAACAGAGAGGGAGACAAGGGGAGAGATAAAGAGGGAGCCCGCAGGGAAGTTTTAAAAATTACAAAATCCCCGAGAGATATTTTGGAGTGGGAGTCAAGAAGGTGCAAATGCTTTTCCTCCTCCCTCCACTCCTCCTCCTCCTTTCCCTCCTCCCTTCGCGGGTTGGCTTCGGGAGCCTCGCGTGGCGCTCGCGTGTGAGGCTGCAGCTAGCGCCTTCTTGTTTAAAAAAAAAAAAAAAAAAAAGGCAGAAGCAAAAGTCGGTGGTGAGCGCGCTCTGCTGAGTCTCCCGTTCCTCTCCCAATCGGGCTGCGCTCTCTTGCGCCGGGTCTCGGTTTCTCCAGCCCTGGCTCAGGCTGTTTTTATTATTTTGTTAACCTCCTTTCTTTCTTATTTCCTTCTTTCACTCGCCCTCCCCGGCCGGCTCCCTGTCGGTGCGCCTTCCACGTTCCCTGGCCAGAAGTGAGAGAGTGCTGGGCGGCCGGAGTGCGGCTGCCTTTTCAATGGGACACCCAGCCCCACGCGCAGCCCTGGCCCCGCCTCGCCCCCCACTCCCCGCTGCTGTAGCGGGCGGCTGCAGCCCCCACTCCCCCTCCTCTTACCTCCTCCTCCCACCCACTCCTAAAGTCCCCTTCCTCCCCTCCCCTCCCCCCGCCTGTTCCTTGCGCCCGCTCCTTGCAAACTCCCCATTCAGCGGGGTTTGTTGTTGCAGTGCGTGCGCCTGGCGCGTGCCGGACTCCCGGCTGAATAAACAGGCGGCGCGCTGGGGCGGGCTGCAGCCGGGGGTGGCTCTAGAAAAAGGGGGGGGGGGGCTGACGTCTCAGCAGGGGCGAATGTCTCTGGGAGTTGGGGTGTAAGGGTTGACAGGTTTGGGGTGAAGTGCCCTGAGATTCTCCTGAGAACTTGGAGCAAAGCACAGGGGAAGGTTTGGGCAGAAAAAGCGGCATGGGCGGTGTGGAGGTTAGAGGGGAGTGGGGCTCCATGTTTCCTGTTTTGTTTTGGTTTTTCCCTACCCACTGTCACTCTCTTGTGGGGGAGGTGTCTTCGCTGTCCTTGGGAGCTGACGCAAATTTGCGATTGAAGTTCAGAAAGATGGGGGCAACTCCGTCCGAAGTGTTGGACTGATAAACTAAAAGTGCTGCTAAGACTTCTGTTCTAGTCCCAGCGTCTTTCACTAGCTCTGTGGCCCTTGGTAAGTGGGTCCCTCTCTGAGCCTCAGTTTTCTTGCCTGTAACAACGGAGGTTGAATTAGATGGTCTCTGATGTCCCGTCCAGATCTAAAAACTGGGCTGTGCTGGCCACAAGTGAGCAAGTGTGGAGGGTGCCCAGGAGAAAGGAGGCGATGTCATTGAGGGGTAGTGATCAGCGCCCTTAGGGTAGGTGTGTGCGTCAGGAATGACCCCCCAAAATGATCTCCAGCTGCCTGTAGCATTGCCTCCCCCCAAGGATAATTTCCTATCCCGTTGTGGGAGGAGATGCATAAAGAAGGGAGTTTTCTGGGATATTCAGGGTTGGATCTGGGGAGGAAAAAAAAGATGTGGGGCACGACGGGGGAGGAGCGGGAGGGTGATGGAGCTTGAGGGGCTAGTGGAGCTTCCTTGGTTGTTCGGCGCCGCCGCAGGCACCTCGGCGGCCTTGGCGCAGCCTCCATCCCGCCCCAGGCGTGTGCCCGGCAGGCCGGTGGCAGGCGACTGGGAGCGGAGCCCGGCGGGGCCGCGTGCTGGCGCCGCGAGGGAGGGGGAGGCGCTTGCCGCCGTCTCTTGGCCTCTTGGACAGCGCCCGCCCAGGCGCCCTTCCTGGGCCCTGGCCCTGGCGCTCTCTGGCCCGGGCCTGGTCCAGCTTTTGCGCTCCTTGGGGCGCGGCGCTGCGGGGAAAGCGGACTGAGCGCGGGAGGCAGGGGAAGGAGGCTGGACGCGTCTCAAGTCGCGTCTACAGAGGCTGAAGAAAGCAGAGGGTAACCAGCCGGTAGATTAGAGGCCTGGGTGCAGGGTTCATTGGGGTGAATTATCCGGGTAATGGCTTCTCATTAGACTTCCCTTAGTGGAGCTGGGTCTTTCTAAAGGATCCAGGTGTGGCCGGCTATGAGTGTTTTTAGAACAATAGTGATGGTGATGTGTAGTAGAGACGGTGGCTACCAAGGTGAATCATCTTCCTTCTCTGCCACAGCTTTCTCTTTTAAAATGGGTGAGTTTGGGCACTTGCCAGCGTGGTTCAGTTGGTTGGAGCGTTGTCCTGTAAACCTAAAGGTCGAGGGTTCCTTCAGGGTATATACCCAAGTTTCAGGTTCCAGGTGCCTGCTGTGTGCGGGAGACAAACGATGGATATTTCTTTCTCTCTCCCTCTCCCTTCCTCTCGCTCAAATCTATTCTTAAAAGACACAACTGATCTGATGTGCTTTAAAAAATAACAGAATAAAAATAAAATGGGTGAGTTTGGGAACTGTACACTGAATCATGCCGACAGAGATCAGTTCTGTAAACCCCTCCCCCCCAGCCTCCTCTTGCACAGTAACTTATGGTTTGCTGACCCCACAGGACTTGGCTGAACCGGTGAGATTTACACCTTTCACCCACCCCACTCACCCCAGGAAAGGAGCCACTGCCCAGGAATCTCCATGAGAGGTCTTCAGACTCACTTTTGTCCCCATTTGGGGGAAATGTAGGAGGAGGTGAGGTCTGAAACAGCAACACCACCTGCCTTCCAACCGCAGGAAGACTCCACCTGGCAAAATGGGTTCTTCAGGCATTTCCAGCCATCCAGCTCTGAGCTCCGTGCAGGCCGCTAGGAGGCCAGGCGCTAGGAAAGGCCTCCTGTGTCCCACCCACTCCTCTCCAGCAAAATACTGTGTGTGGGTGTGAGGGGAGAGTCACCAACATCAGGCACCTAGTGCATTTTCTTTTGCATTAAGCTGAACCATGCACCCTAAGTTCTCTTCCAACTCAGATTCTAAGCATTCCACACTTAAAGGTTCATAGTTCTGGCTCTGTCCCTATTTTGTGTTGTAACCTTGAACAAGTCCCTCTTGCGTTGCCGCCCTCAGTTTCCCCACCTGTGCGGGATTTCGAAATGCATGTAGGAGCAAGGAAAATCTTCGGATGGCCAGCAAGTTCTCTCAGTTTTCTTTTCGGGTGCATGGAGATCCTAATTGTCATGGACCAGAGCCTACTCCCAACCACCACCAATACACACACACACACACACACACACACACACGCCATGAAATGAGCCCTCAACTAGAAGTGCCAACCAATGAAGCTGCTCATTGTAGCAGCCCTACACATTGGCTTCCACCCAGGAGGAAAGACAGCGGGTGCTGGGATCCTTCCGGCCAAAGTCACCAGAACATTTGTCCCTATTCTCCCCGCTCCAGCTCTGAGCCAAAACTCCACCCTCACTATCTCAACTCCCTCATCCTGAGCTTACTTCCCAAAGCTCTCCAAGAACCCAGGTATTCCCTTCCTCTTACTGGAGTAAATAAACACCCCCCTCCACCATCCCAGCCCAACCCTGTCATCTCCACCTTGTCCTCCAACCCGAAGGTAGAGCCACCTAGAATCTGTTTTGGGGGGTTTCCACCACTGCCTTTGGGGACTGTGTACTACCAAGGGGAGTTTTCCACTGAAATAGGCTTTCTGGTTGTTTTAACCAGTTTGGAGCGAAGGACTGAGGCTCAAAGAGCCAATTAGAATCCTGCCTCAGACCCCGTGGCCTAGAGTGTGACTCCCCCCCACACACACACCTGTGAGAATTGCCACAGACTCTCTTAGGCTGGGGGACCCCAGGTCCTGGGGGGAAAAGGAGGTAAAGCAGATGGACTTGATTTGACTCCCGGGCTCTGTTACTTAAACAGCAGTGTGAGCTTGAGTAGACATAGTATCTACTTCCAACTTGGGGAGATTTCAGGGAGAGGTGTGCGAATTGGATCTAAGTAGCAAGGGATGAATAAGAATAGCCTTTCTGGACACCACGAGGAAGCTTTGCTGCTGCTCACACAGCCATCCCGGGAAGGGTTCAGAGGAGGTGGAGGTCCAGCTCCGCTTCCTGGAACCCTACCCTGACAGTTGTGAACAGCCGCTGGAGATCCAATGCCTCCTGTCTCACTGTTCCAGAACCGGGGAGTGGGTAATTCCTGTCATTTTTAGACATGGTGTGATGTTTGCAGGCCGGGTGATCGGAGTTAGCAACTAAGGTTTTAATGGAAACAGTAGGAAGTGAGATGAAATACAGAGAGGCTTTATGGCTGCCTCAAGGAAGATGCTGCAGCAAGCCCCTGCTTCTGACCTCCCTTGCCACCAGTGGGCCAGACTCTGGGCAAGACCCCAGGGTTTACTTGACCAGGTCACTCAAGGTTCCATTTATCTAGATGTGGAGGGGAAAATAGTTCTCCAAGGAGTGTGGGATGCCTTCAGACCCAGTGCAGTAGTCAGGAGAATGCAATCTAATGTTGTTTGTGAATTCACTTTGCAAGTCCCTCCATATATACCAGGGACTGCCATTCTTACGATGGGAAGGCAGGACACTGACCCCCTTCGGTAGGTATTACCCAGAATGTAGACATCCTAGAAAAAATGGGAAGGTTTCCTTTTGCCGCAATGCAATAAGGGCCTTAATTTCTGTACCTTCAGGCCTCTCTTTTATTCAAGGAGTCCTGGAGATGGAGTACACCTTAGATTAAACCCTATCCACATTCAGCATCAGGATCTACATGGTCAGAGGGTTTTTTCAGTGAGGCGGAGGAATCATTGCCCTGAAGACCTGAGACACTGGGGTCCTGAGTCTCTGGCCACATTAACTTCCACTCACAGTTGAAGGTCAGGCCGATGTCACCTCTGCTGGCGCACTATAGTCATGCTCCAGAACCGTGAGGCTCCTCTCTGTGGAAAGGGGACAGGCCTCATCTCTTTGAAAAAGTTCCCTCTGTGCTTTTACTTTAGGGGAAGGGGAGTTCATATGAAAAGTGAAACTAGGGTTTCCATGGAAGGAATGAATCAGTTCATAAAATTATATTTATAGCGGATCCTGAATCAGAGGCGAGGAGAGTACAAAAAGGCCTCAGATTTCTGAGTGGACACGAGTTTAGGGCAAGCCTCAGTTTTGGTGAGTGCAGAGCCCCAGGATCCAGGGGTGCTTTGAGAAAAGTGAGTATGTGTTCATATGTGTGGGTCCCAGTAGCTGTAACACGGGGCCTCTGGCCTGGGGTGTATGCTGCTCCAGGGCTGTGCTTGACCTTGTCCTGCCTGGGAAATGAAAAGCGCATTATTGCGCAATCTGCTGTCTCCAGCACACTCTTCCCAAGGTGACTTCAGAACCGACTGCTGCCCAGGCTGAGCTAAGGCCGACTCGCCAGGGACGGCCTGCTCAGGGGGCAGAATGGCACACACTACAGATTTGGCTTAGCATCTTGGTCACAGCAGCCAGGCCTGCACCTGCATTAAGGAATCCAGACTTCTAACAAATCTATTTGCTTTTTCAATA